GCATTACCATTTTTAAGCACATACAGACATAAACCTGTACTTTCATAGAAATATAGGGCTGGCAAGTTACCTCAAGAAATCCATTCCCTCCTCCTACACTGAGGCAGGACCAAGTAAACTTAGATGACAGGTGCTTGATTCAACCTACTCTTAAAAACCTCCACAACCTCCTTTGTTAAGCCTATTCCAGAGCTTAACTACCCTTACGTTTTTCCAAATATCAAACATAAATCTCCCTGTGGCAGATGAAGATCATTTATTTCTTGTCCTACCTTCAGTGAACCTGGAGAACAATTGATCATGGTTATCTTTAGAATAGCTCTTAATGCATTTGAAGACTGTTACTAGCAATCCCCCTCTTCACCTGTAGTCTTTTCTCAAGACTAAACATTCCCTGGGTTTTTTTAACCTTTCCTTGTAGGTCAGAATTTCTAACCATTTACCATTAGCTATGTCTATACTACATGGATGTTTTGGAAAAAGGTACACAAATTTTGCCCTCCTTTTTTTTTATAGTTCTTTCAGAAGAGGCTTTTCCAAAATTTGGCCCATCTACACTGGGCCAATTTTAATTTTAATATAGCGAGATCACTCAGAGTAGTTGTCGTAAGTATTTAAAGCAGCATGTATCTTTGTTTCATTAGACTAGGTTGGTAGCAATCAAAAAGAAAATCTGACTTAACAGAACTTGCTTGTAGTACTATTGTGGACTATTCTCTAAATATATGAAACGTACATTGAAATTTTAGCTTACATTCCCATTGTTTGCTTAGTCTGTGAGTGAAAAACAGCATACTAACAGCGACACTTGCAGTGATCAAATAGTCAGCAGGAGACTTCCCTTACTGTAGACCAGTGGTCACCAACTGTGACAGGTCACCAACCTGTCAAAGGCACCAAAGGTAAATCTTTGAGCCTTTGACAGGTGATCCTGACTGGTTTGGCCAAGAGGATATCAAATGCCAGCACTTCAGCTGCCTCTCCCTCCACTGCTGCTCATCTCCTGCCCTTTGCCTCATAGCTGCCTTTCTCCCTGGGGAGCCTCCTGTTTGCTGTGCAGGGCAGAAGAGGGAGAAGAAGGGGCACTGATGTCTGGGTGCCCCCTCCCACTCTGTATCCTTTCTCCACAGAGAAGAGATGGGGCACACCAGGACGTGGGAGGGAGTTGCTAGCTGCTTTAGGGAGTGCTCCAGGGCTAGAGTGGGGGTGAGCCTGCCTTAGTCCCACTGCATCACCACCCAGCAGCCACCTGAGGTAAGCAGTGCCCAGCTGGAGCCCACATCTTGAAACCCTACCCCAGTCATGAACCCCTTCCTCTCCCCAAGCACCCCTGTATCCAAACATGGTCCCAGAATCTGCACCTAGAACCCCCTTCTACATCCCAACCGCCTGCCCCAAGAACAGATCAGAGCCCCTCGCATACTCCAGAACCCTTAATCCAAGACCAAAGCCTGTACTCAACCCTCTGCCCCAGCCTGAGGAAAGTGAGTGAGCGGGGCAGGACCTCAGAGAAGGAGAGGAAAGGAGGAGGGGCAAGGGTATTTATATTTGAGGTAGATCTTGGATTGCACTTAAATTCAAAAAATGATCTCGTGCTTAAAAAGGTTGGAGACCCCTGCTATAGACAAATGAGATGGAGTTCAGTAAACAGAGCTGTAGACTAGCCAGGAGAGTGGTTTGTTTTTTGTTTTTTTAATGTTGGTTAGTATCGTGTGGGGAAACAATGACATATTGGCCTGCCAAAGATCATGTGGCCTGGAAATGACTTTAATTGCAGAAATGAAATAATGAATGCAGTGTGTTATGCAAGCTCCTGCAACAACACTTTGTGCTTGCATTGGATAAATAAAACCAACATTGACAGGTTGACTCTGGTCACTTGCACAACTTGTTCATAGATCATTCCTACTAGAAGCAGCAGTGGGGTTCATGTTGGGCCAGTGGGTTTTGGTCCTATTCCCAAAGTCTGCTATGGTAGTGGTTCTCAACTAGGGGTCCAGTGCTCCCTTTGGGGATGCAAGCAAGTTTCAGGGGGTCCACCAATTAGGGCCAGCATTAGACTCCCTGTGGCTCTTGGCAGAAAGCTGAAGCCCCACTGCATGGGACTGAAGCTCAAGTTCCTGAAACCCACCACCCAGGGCGGAAGACAAAGCCTGAATAGCTTAACTTCCAGGGGTCCCTCTGGCATGAGGCCCTGGGCAATTGCTCTGCTTTTTGGTTGCTACCTTAATGCCTATCTTCCCTGGCTTTGATATGCAGAAAAGTAGTTGTTGTATCACAGAGTTTTTATAGGGTGTTGCGGGGAGGAAAGAGAAAGGTTGAGAACCCCTGTACTATCAACTCTATTGGAAAAAAATCAAGTAGAATGCCCCTTTCCTTCCACCTTCAGTTGTGTGTGCGTGCGCACAGCTGGAACCAAGAATTTGGCCAAAAGATAGCAACATCCAGGGCATCCTTTTAGTTTATTTCCCTTTAAAAATGTTTTAATGTTACCCCTTTTATATTGCTTAATGCCCTGAAAAAAACTTGGACTCCAGAATATGTGGGTATGTCTACTTTAGAATGCTACAGAGACCCTGTTGCTGCACTGTTGTCATGTATACACTTAGTACAGAGGTAGAAAGGGTTCATCTGTCACTGTGGTTCAGCTGAGCTGTGGGGCTGTGGTGGGGAGCTGGGGACCAGTGTTTAGCTCAGCTGAGCTGCAGCAGGTGGGAGGAAGTCTGATGGGTGGCAAAGGATGGAGCCAGAGGTGGGGGAGGAGGAAGAGGGGAATGACCATCCCGACTGGCAAAATCCCTCATCCAGGACCAGTTCAATCCTGAGGATGCCATACCAGGGAGGTGCAACCTGTAGGCTCCCACCCAACCTAGCAGTATTTACATTGAGGAGTAGGTTGGCTTTATATTGCATAAGGTATGAAATTTTCACAGCCCCGAGGGATATAGTTAAGATGACCTCATTTTGTCATGTAGACCAGACATATCTCATAAACAAGTTTTATATTTATATTTCATAAACTATGGTTCCTTATTGTATGAGGTACTCAGTAACTCTCACTAGTTAGAATGGACAGGTCTGTAGCCTGTTCAAAAAACCTCATGTTTTCAGAATATGAATAGAGAATGTCATCTCTTGTATGTAATTTGTTCAGATTATGTACTACAGGCAGTCCCCGGGTTACGTCCAAGATAGGGACTATAGGTTTGTTCTTAAGTTAAATTTGTATGTAAGTCGGAACTGGCTCCAGATTCAGCCGCTGCTGCTGAAACTGACCAGGGGCTGACTTCAGGAAGCTGGAGGCAGAATTGCACTGCCCCCAGCTTCCTGGAATCAGCCACTGATCAGTTTCCACAGCAGCTGAATCTCGAGCCTGTGACA